GGTTAGGTACATTTTTGTTCGCAGCGTCTAGCGTGTCGAAGGAGTAGGCAACTATAGCAGTACGTAAAGAAAATTTTGGATGGAGTGATTTATCTATCTGTAATGCTGCGGCTACGGAGAAATGCCGTTAATTATCGCGTTGATGGACGTTGAATGTAGGTGTGGCCACGAATTAACGCGATAATTTGACAACGGCATTATATGTGTGCCACGGAGTTGCACGTATGGCTGCGATGGAGTGGAGTAATGAAAAAGGTTTTAGAGATTGAATTAAAAAAAATACTTCAAAAGTACTTTAACTTACGGTATGAAACTAAGAAAAATAAGCAGGAGAAAGAAAAACAATTTTTGCAGGTCAAAATTCATAGTGTACAGTGGTACGAAACCCTGGGTACGTGTATCTAATTCGCACTTGACCAGTATTTATAATTGGCTTATTAGTTATTATTTCATTAAAATATATTTACGTTTGTTATTTTATTTAGCTTAAACTTTTATACGTGGTAGAGCCATGCTGCAGTTATAGTAGATGTATAGTTGTAGCACGAATGGGTCGGCTCGACCGGGGAAGGACCACGCTCTCACAGAATACCAGCGTGAAATAATAATATAATAATAATTTATTTGACTCAATTGACAGGTTACACTTATTGTATTATATCTATTTTAAATTAAAAAATTACATTTCAAAGAAGTGGAAGGTGACAAACAAGCACACAGTCCACCTGATGGTATGTGGATGCTGTAGCCCATAGACACCTACATCTATCCTCGATTACGAATCAAAATGGTAAAGTAACTATTTAGTAATCTGTGGTGTAGGTTCGGACTAAAGTAGGTAGGTACCTAATATTATAAATCAAAAACAAAATCAAATCGAAAACTGTAAACTTACCTTTGATTCCTTGTATCATTTTCAATATCCTTGCACTTCGACTACTTTTACTAGTCATTTTTCTTAGCGAGGCGGACGTCACTTCTCAAATAAAATAAATGCGGCGAGCTTACACACAACGCGCGTATACTAACAACGACAAAACAAAACGAAGTAATGTGATTTTGTTTGTTTAAAACTTATTTGAACGGCACGGCAACGTCGCATCCCCTAATTTTGTGCGGAAGTCAAATAGACAGCAGCGCTATTATTTTTGCTACGAAAACTAGCGGAACTACGAAAATATTCAGTACAGCGAGATTGGAAGAAAAATGACGTCCAATTTTATTTTTAGATTTTGACATTTCTATGATCAGCATGACAATCTGCGAACAATGCGCTAAGTCTCCTATTTGACGTCCGTATATCGGACGTCGCATTGATTTATATGTTATACTAGATAAGTAATTTCCGCGCCAAAGCGTTGTCACTTCACATAAGGCCACAGCCTTATACTCAGCGAACGTCGGTTCAGTGTTCAAGGTGACGCCGTCCGAGTTAAGCCGAACGATTCACAACAAAAAATGGGTAAATGCGTAGTGAAAGAATGCGTTTCAAGGTCACAAAAACATAATAAATCAAGCGGAATCACTTTCCATACGTAAGTTTTAATTTATATATTCATATTAACGTTTAAAACACTAAAAAATTAAATAAAATATCGAATATTGCAATTTAGGTTCAATGTTGCCACTTTTCCGCCTTTGTGATTTTTCCACATTAATGGGAGACTGTATAATTTATGGAATAAGTTAATTTTGTTTTAAAATAAACAAGTAAAATTGATTGCTTAAAAATAAAAACTATGTTTCAACCTTTATACAAAATAATTATTCTTATTTTATTTTATTCATGAATTATCTATTAAATATATTTTACTACCTTATATCTTATATTAATAATTTTATATTAATTAAAATTTCATATAAATTTTATATTAATTATATTTCACTACCTATTTTATATTACTTGATTTATTAGTACAGTAAAAAATATTTATAAAAATATGTTTTATTTCATCATTATGTACTTCTAACTCATCTGATAAGCTTTGTATTCTTTTTTTCTAAGGGGACGCAATAAAGATTTTAAAATAAAATATACTTTCTTAATATAAAAACAATTAACTGAAGCTTAAAAAAAACTCATTTTTATTGCGTATTTTAGGTAAAATTTTATATAGTAAGCCACACCAACCCGCCATTGCATGTTTGTGTGTCTATCTTTATCTAATTTTAGCGACGATATTGTTTACGTAACTTGTGTAAGTGAGATAGATATATGTTTATTTAAAATTGTTATTAGTTTCAAAGCTACGTCGTCGCGTTTGGATAGTGGTTACACATTTTTCGACGCGCGGTAATGTGGTTTGCTCCTCTAGTTGTATAACTCAATGGGACGTCGTAAGCAGGTTGACGCCACATTATATGCAAAATTCGCCATAGTGGACGTACAATAAGTTACGGGATGTATATATATATATATATATATATATATATATATATATATATATATATATATGGCCCAACAAGATACTTAGTAGACATTACCTATAATTTAGAATACAATTTAATATATACATTGAGGTATTATACACCATGTAATTGAAGAATTATAGCATTATTTAAAACGAGGAAGTTTGATTTTATTTTAATTTTGCAATACATAATGCATGGACTTTAATAGACAGTAACAGTGACGGTAACGGCAATACGTAATATGTTTTTGATTAAATTATTGTTTATTAAAAATTAATTAATTATTAAAGTACAGTTACAGTTACATACAGTATTAAATTGTACTTGGGGTAAAAAGTCGGAAGAACAAATAAAAGTGAACTCCGATTATCAACCCCAATTTGGGTTGATATGACGCAGCCAACTAGCTTAATTAGCCGTTCAATCAACAGCCTAGCCTCTTTACTAAACAGCGTCTTCAATCAACAGCCTAGCCTCTTTACTAAACAGCGCCGTTCAACTAACGACCTGAATGATATTAAGCCTTAGCGTTTGTTACAACATTTAATAAACTGTCGGGAAAATCGCTTAGGCCATTCGTAGGATAGGATAAAACAGCGCCGTTCAACTAGCGGTCTGAATGATATTCAGCACATGCGTTTCAGCCGATGCGTCTAATACAATATTTCATGCCTAATTATGCACTATGCGCTATATTATATAAATTATAAATATACGCGGCTTTGGGGTGCCACACTTCCGCACCCTAACCTACTGTCGCTGATACAAGATAGTTGCAATGTTTTATTACACGTAGCGGTTGAATATCATTTGGGCCTCTAGTTAAACATTAAAAGGATAAGCTGTTAAATGGTAATGAGAGTGGATCACCTACAACAGAAAAGGTCATGATCAAAGGGTAGTCAAGTCCAAAACCGTAGTGAAACCCGGACTAACACGAAATAAGTTGACGCTGTGTGTGTGTAAGAAGAGCATCGTTTATTATGAGCTTTTACATCTGGGTAAAAACATCGATTTGGATCTCTACTCTACTGCCAACAACTAGTAAGACTCAAGCAAGAAATTGAGAAAAAACGGCCAGAATGCTCCAATTGAAAAATAGTGGTCTTTCATCATGATAACGCCAGACCACACAGATCTTTAGCTACTCAGCAAAACTTGAGAGAGCTTTGTTAGGAACTGTTAATGCATCCACCATATAGTCTTGCTCTTGCACCATCAGATTTTCACCTGTTTCGGCTTTTTCAGAGTTCTTTGGGTAGTGTTAAGCTAATATCAAGAGAGGACGGTCAAAACTACATTTTTTAATCAAAAATCCCAAAATTTCTACAGCAACGGGATTATGTCATCTACCTACAAAATGGCAACAAGTTATCGAAAAATGTATAAGTATATAAAATATGAAGAAACCTTTTCCCCGACCTACGAAGTTCAGAGAACAAGACAAGAAAAGTGTATATTTAAATTGTTTGGCTAGCTTAGATCCTAGGAGTATTAATAGTAATTATTAACTTATAATCAATATGTAATTATTGTAGTTCATGCGTGCTCTTTCATTTCAACTCAACAAATTTTGATACAGGGCCCGTCTAAGACACGCTACGCCACTGGTCAATAGGCTTTTGTTACGCTAAGACAGTGCGATTTACCATCTAGACTCTAGAGCTTCATGACCACTAACCACCAAGTAGGATTGTAGCCATGCACTTGCTTATAATAAGTTTAAAAAATTACCAATGCTGGTCGTTGAATACAGTATGATAGTCACACTACACTTAATAAAAGACAAAATCGCAGGTACATTTATTGACTTTAATATTTTTAAAACATCTAAACACATAAAAAAAGTTTTATACCAAAACTATTTCTAATGGACCTATTTCACATATCTGATTTATAATTGCTAAGGATACTACTTATATATAAAATTGCTTAGTCTATAAGAATATAAATGTTTGAATGTACATAGTACACAAATATTACTTATTTTATATAAATTCATCGTTCTTGGGGACTATTTTGTACATTGACATATAGTAGTAGTACTTAAGTTTCAAGAAATATAAATAACTAAACAGTCCGTCCTGGCTTAGCAAGGGTGATTTCTGAATCTCGACAACTGTCAACCTGCCCAAAGTACGAATATAAACCATCTAGGGACTCATTCAAACACACACAAAAAATTTCATCAAAATCTGATGGTTTCAAAGTCTATAATGGACCTAGGTAGAAACATTTTTTGTGTTTTATATCTAAAACACATCAATTTAAGTTATGTTTTCTAATTTACGCGAACACTACACATTGAATAAAACTAAATTTACGGATTTTATCGCGTTTATTTCAGTCCCCACCGTGACCATGGTTGCTGTAAAGCACCCGAAACGTCGGGAATTAAAAATAAGTAAAAGTAGTGAAATAAACGCGATAAAATCCGTAAATTTAGTTTTATTCAACATCAATTTAAGTTATGTTTTCTAATTAGTAAAGTATTCTGAAATACAACATACATAATTTTAATTCCCAAGTAAGACAAATTACTATATCTGTTAATATCTCCACTATTCAACTTGCTCATCCAGTCTCACAATAACTGGTCTTTCATCCTCTTCATCTGCATCTAAACCTGTGAAATCCCACTGAAGTTTCTCTGTCAAATTCTCTTTAAATCTCTCAATCATTGTTAACAATCTCCCATCAACCTTGCTTACGTATGCAGTACGAAAGAATTCACGCAGCTTCTTGTAAACTAAGTTTTTATTCATGACTATATCTGCAAGAAACTCCTCCGGCATCTCCTCAATCTGAATTTCAATGGTTCTGATGAAATGGAAGAAAACGCTTCTATATTTATGAATGGCGTCGTCGCACGAACATAGCAATATTACAAGATTCTTCCAGTGTTCAAATGCTTCCAAGGAATGCCCAATGAGGAAGCATAAATACGCGAATTGCAACTCTCCTATGATGTGAAGGGGTCTGGAATGATATAAAGTGGATTTTAAGACTGATACATTGATGTAGGCATTTTTTTAAATAAACGGGAATGTTTTACAAATATATTACGAAAATTATAAAGGTCTTATATTGAAATAAATATATCCAAATTCTAAATTGTTTACGACTGGCCTCTGAAATATTTAATCGACTCTTTTATGACATTCTATCATATCTCTGGTTTGAGTAATTTACTAACATTGTCTTCTTTACAGCCATTAAACGACATGCATCATCGTATTCTTGAGTGTCTTACCAGGTCGTCACTGAAGCTATTGAGGTGAGTGGGGGGAGGGGCTCTACACTTCGCTTACCATATATTCTGCCATACGATATTTCGCGACATACCGAAGGCTGTTAGTTATGTTTTCTTTACGTTGTACTTTAAGTTGCACTGTAATATTATAGGATTATCCGAGGTCCGAAGAGGGGGAGGACACGGTGATTCTCGAATCCGGCAACTTGTTCTATCATTGGGAGGGCGACCATCTGTCCCAAGGAGGTGTTGGATTTATCGTTCACAAGTCTCTCGTTAACAACATTGTAAAGATTGGGAGTGTGTCGACGAGGGTTGCGTACCTTATACTCAGAATCACAAAACGATATTCGCTGAAGGTCATACAGGTTTATGCACCAACGTCGGCACATCCCGATGAGGAGGTGGAAGAAATGTATGAGGATATTTCTATAGCCATGCATTCCTCCAAAACTCACTATATGGTGTTAATGGGAGACTTCAACGCAAAGCTAGGCACAAGAAAGGTCGGTGAGCTGAGGGTAGGGAAAATTGGCATAGAGCAACGGAACCCAAAGCGCCAGCAGCTGGCCAACTTCATGGAGAAAGAGGGACTCTTTATGATGAACTCTTTCTTCCAGAAGCGGCCCCACAGAAAGTGGACTTGGTCGAGCCCCGACGGTTCGACAAAAAATGAGATCTGAGAACTGTTCAGTGATGGCTGAGTGATCGCAAGGGTGAAAACTGGCAGCGAGCACCGAATGGTTAGAGGCACACTGAACCTAAACGATAAGTTGTAGAGGTCTTGTCTAATGAAGTCAACGCTCCGTCATTCTCGTGCCCTAATCCAAAGTCCCGAAACCTTTCAGCTCGAGTTACAAAACCGTTTTCAGTGCCTCCAGCCAGCTCGTGGAAACTGTTCATGCGGTCGGAGCTCAGTTCTGCAAGACCCGCCGCAGAAAAACACAAAACTCTCCGATCACACTCTTAATCTCATGGATGTTAGACAGGAGATGAAGGTGCAGTCGTCAGCAGATAACAGCATAGGGGCAACTGAACAGACAGATCTCCAAATGCATGCGACGGGACTTATGCAACTTCAATTCAGCTCGTATTGAAGAAGCAATTGAGCGGAACCAGGGCTCCAAAGTCTTTGCCAGAGATCTGTCTGTCAGAAAGAGCCAACTGTCAAAGCTGAAGACTGAGTGTGGTAGCATGGTTTCAGGGACACCTGAGATTTTGAGTGACATTGAGAGATTCTATGGGAAGCTGTACACATCATCTTTGGAGCCACACGCAAGTGTGAGTAACGATCCAAGAGTAAGTTTTATCGGACACTATTCCGATCATATCCCGGATGTAAGTTTGAGCGAGATTAGAATGGCTCTTCAGCACCTTAAAAACGGCAAGATCCCAGGCGAGGATGGAATTACAGCGGGGCTTTTGAAAGCGGGTGGAACACCGTTACTTAACCTCTTAGCTACCAACCACACCCACCCACAGCACTTTAACCCATAAATACTTATGGTTAGAGACTAGTTTTCTATGAAGAAGTTTGGCATTATAGGGTCAATATGAAATTTTCTATCCTCTAGTGCAATAAAAAGTCAGTCAATCTATGGTTATTTATTTATAATCTACGTCCATTACGTATGCCATTTTCGTGTGGATGTAATTTTGTTGTGTGGTGTTGATTTTTGGATTTTTCTAGTGTTTTAGTATAGTGTTTTATTATAAATTTGGTATGAAAGTTTAGTAAACAATTTCGAGTAATATATAGAAATAATTGTGATTTTCACGCTGCCCGTTTTTTGTTATCAAAATACAATAAAGTCTTTTTGTAATGAACTAAAACCTAACTTGTTTACACCACAGGATAGAGAATTTTGTATAGATTTTATAATATCAAACTTCATCATAGAAAAGTAGTCTCTACTTATAAGTTTTAATGATTTAAAGTGTTGTGGGTGGGTGCGGTCGCATGCGACCGCTCGGGATTTGACGGACGCATGCGACTGGGGCTGGGACTTATGGGGATTGAAGGGTTAAAGTCCTTCAGAAGCTATTCAGTTCCGTCCTCCATGGTGGAACTACTCCGGAGGCGTGGAGCAAAAGTGCGATGGTCTTGTTCTTCAAGAAAGACGACAACGCTCTCTTGAAGAACTACAGACCTGTTTTCGAGACAGTGCGTTTTCGAGAGTCATTACGAATCGTCTCGCACGCAGACTCGACGACTTCCAGCCTCTCGAACAAGCCGGTTTCCGAAAAGGCTTCACTACCATAGACCACATACATACCCTACGGCAGATTGTACAGAAGACCGAAGAGTAAGTAACTTTGCTTGGCGTCTATGGACTATGAGAAAGCCTTTGATTCCGTCGAAATTTGGGCGGTGCTACAGTCCCTTCAGCGGTGCCAAGTAGACTGTCGGTATATCGAAGTGCTGAAGTGTTTGTACAGTAGGGCTACGATGGCTATCCAAGTACAGAACTGGAGTACGAAACATATCCAATTGCAGAGAGTTGTAAGACAGGGCGACGTTATATCCCTGAAACTCTTCACCGCTGCATTGGAAGATGTTTTCAAGCTACTGGACTGGAAAGGATACGATATTAACATCAATGGCGAGTACATCACTCACCTTCGATTTGCCGACGATATAGTCCTTTTGGCAGAATCGCTGGACGACCTAAGCACTATGCTCAATGACCTCAATAGTGTCTCCCAACGGATAGGTCTTAAGATGAACATGGACAAAACAAAGATCACGTTTAATATCCATGTCACACCTATGCCGGTAGTTGTTGGAGCACTAAGCTCGATGTTGTTGACGAGTACGTTTACCTGAGACAAATAGTCCGACTAGGTAAGTCCAACTTCGACCGAGAGGTCAATCGACGTATTCAACTCGGCTGGGCAGCGTTCGGGAAATTACGATATATTTCCTCGTCAGGTATTCCTCAAAACCTGAAAACGAGACTGTACAACCAGTGCGTGTTGCTAGTGATGACTTATGGATCTGAGCCGTGGTCCTTCACTGCTGGCCGTATGAGGACGCTCAAGGTCGCTCGGGGTTTCTCTGCGAATAAACTTAGAAATGAGGATATCCGCAGTAGAACCAGAGTGACCGACATTGTCCAACGGATTAGTAAGTTGAAGTGGCAATGAGAACCGATGGGGAAAAATGTTCTCGAGTGGCAGCCTCGTACTGGTAGGCGTAGTGTAGGGCGACCGCCCACTAGATGGAGTGACGAGCTGGTAAGACATGCAGGAAGTCGATGGATGCAGGTGGCTCAAGTTCGTGCTTTGTGGCATTCCTTGGGAGAGGCCTATGTTCAGCAGTGTACTTGTGAAAGGCTGTAATGATGATGATTATGAATCATTACATGCCTTCTCAAGTCTGCTGCTCGATATAGGCTTCCCCCAAGGAATACCACAAAGTACGGTCCTGAGCCACCTGCATTCCTTGACTTTACATGGATCTAAGACGTGGTCCTTGACTGCTGGTTGTTTGCGGAACCTCAAGGTCGCCCAAGAACATTGTATCGACAAAATAAATACATTGGATGAAAATGTTAAAGATTGTCTAAATTTAAGAACTGCATCATTGTAGAGGGTTCTGACTGAAGTGGTATGTGTTTGTAAATACTTCAGAAGTAGCATGCTCATATTGTTTCTATGGAAATTGGACATGTGTGGTTGTAAATACTTCAGAAGTAGCATGCTCATATTGTTTCTATGGAAATTGGACATAAAATAATGTATTTGATTAAGAGTATTTCGATATATCTTTTATAACTGTTGGTTGGTTCCTCTAACAAATATAAATGTGTGCAGATTTATAATCTACATACTCATCATGCTGTGCAATCATCAACTCCAAAGTGTAGGACTGGTCCAGGTAATGCTTTGTTATTTCTTCTGGTGTTGAACCAGGGGGAAATTTGTCACGCGGAATTTCTGTAAACCTCATAGCTGTACCTGAAATTATAAAACAATGACATCAAACAAGGAATTTTTATTAAAGTAATATGACATAACAAGATGGCTTGTTTGGTCACAAATACGAATACGAATATTCGTATTCGCCGAATAGTAGACATTTACCGAATATTCGTATTCGGCGAATACTAATCACGAATATTTAAAATCTAATATTTTTGTACGCAACTCAAAATTACAGGTAGACTTTGAAAACGCGCGTCGTAAAAAAAACGATGTGTGCATAGGACCTTAGCCGAAACGACGGGGATCCTCTGGCTCCAGGAGTTTTCCCTATCATTACGAACGGTGAATTGATTCATTTATTTTATTTGGCAGTCGAACGAAAGCGAGTCGAAGAAGTTTAATTTATTTGTTTTGTGACGTTGCTGGGAAGTGAAAAAAAGAAGTTGAAGTTAATTAAACGAGAATTAAACGAGATCAAAGTGACATATGGAAATACTTCGATAAATTACCGAGTAAGAAGTTATATGGTCTGTATTTCCTTTGTACCAACAAAAGGTATGTAAGTAATGGCTGTGTCTATGTAGTACTAGACTTTGCCCGCAACTTTTGAATGCCTGACTGTTATTTTTTTTACAGATATATACCTACAAACCACCTTATAGAAAAAAATCTACCGGATATGTGTTAAAATAAAATTGAAGTAGCAGTTAAAAAATACCCCAAATCTCTCTGTCACAGCACCCATGTGGACCAGTGACGCTTCCTCACAAGTCAATGATTTTATAAGTCTTACTGGCCATGGTGTCAATGAAGAGTTACAGCTCAAATCTTATTGTCTGGAAGTGTGTCCTTTTAAAGGTTTCATTCAGAAGAAAATATTGCCCACAATATGTATATGATGTTTCTGGAATGGCGGTTTTTGGATAAAGTTGCAGCAGTTGTAACTAACAATGCACGATATATAGTTAAAGTTATTGATGAGTTTGATCGAAGTCTTAAACTACATAAACATATTTCTTGTTTGGTGCACAACATCCAATTTGCGATGAAAAAACGTTTGTTTGATCAAGAACATATAGCCAAAATGTTAACCATATGCAGGGGAGTTATAACTTATTTTAAAACTCAAACAACTGAAAGATTCTCAACAAGCTAACAATATACCAAAACATGTTTTGTTTCAAGATATTGAAACTAGATGGAACTTAACATATCAGATGTTGAAGAGATTACATGAACAACACATAGCAATTCAAGATGTTTTACCATCTCTACCAAATCGTCGTCATGAAATCACAGCAAGGCAACTGGCTCATATGAGCCAAATTATTGATACTCTGGCCAATTTTGTAGAAGCTACTAAGCACAAAGAATTAACGACATTATCTCCAGCAATCCCAATAATGCGAGGTCTTAAATCTTACCTCAATAAAATTAGCAATGATTCTTCTTCTCATCCTGATGTAAAAAATCTGACAAACTCCCTATTCAGTGGACTTTCAAATAGATTTGCGTTTAAGGAAATCGATAAAACTTATTTATTAGCAACTTTCAGTGGTCGCTGAAACTGCTCGATCAGTTCTTATCGCTGCTGTTGATGACAGGGAGGCCGTGAGACCGACAAGACCTCCAGAAGAAAAGGAAAGTTATTAACTTTTAAAAGGTACTCTCATTGTCATCTATCTACATAATAAAAGTAAAATTGAATCTCAAATTTTTTTTCAGGGGATTCCCAAACAAAAAAGGAGATAGATGTTTATCTAAAGCTCCCAAATTTATCGCCAACTGTTGATTCATTGACCATTTAATTGGCGAGAACATGTCCATTTTCTAAGGCTGAAAAAACGCGCCCAAAAATATCACGAAAAGGCTTTTTTCAACAGCTGAACACATCCAGACTGAAAAAAGAAATTGCCTAAAACCAGAAAAATCTACAAATTTTATGTTTTTTAAATAAAAATATGCCTGTTGTAAATTTTAATTATAAGAACAATAGAAAATCATCAAATAAATTAGTTTTTCATTACCATAGCGAGATATTCGTATTCGTATTCGCCGAACAGTAGGTTTGATATTCGTATTCGTAAAAGTAGTATTCGTTGCATAACTAGTAACAAGCAATTGCATAAGTAACCGTTAAGTTACCTATGAATAGAATATGTATTATTCAATATAGATTATTACATAATACTTCCTGTAAGTCGTTTTTCTATTTACCACTGATTCAGAAAATACCTCTGACCAGGGAAGAACCAGCAAGAAACCCAGCAGGATTTTTATTAAAACATATTTGACTTTACAATAATTTTTACAATTTTTAAATTAATTTTAATAGAACCCGCATGGTAGCAATCACCTCATTCCCAGGAGGATCCTCATTATTTTCATTCATGTATGTATGTATGTAGACATGCATGATGTCAGTTTTTACAGTACCAAACCTACTTGCACATAGAAGCAGATACACTGTCCATCTCTTATTTACTTGTGTTAAGTCATTATAGGTTTATGTAGGGCCTCAAATGTTCTTTTACAAATGATTAAAAACGTGTATTAAATACGATATCTAAGCATACCTATCTTTTTTGTTTCTATATGGAATAATGGCGATAAACAAGTACACAGCCGACCCAATTTTGCTACAACCATAACATCGCTGTAGCTTGGCTCCTGTTCGATTTTCCGGTTGATCTTGTCGATTGGAGTGTCAATGTCTCGATGATATTGTTAACTTATATTATACTAACACTATAACAGTACATACAGTGGGAGAGCCATTATGCAGCTATATTATAGTTGTAGCATGAATGGGTCGACTCAAACGGGGAAGGACCCCGCTCTTACAGAATACCAGCGTAAAATAGCAGCTCAATGCTGCTGTGTTTCGTATGGTGAGTGTAGAGTACCAGAGACCCTGGAAATGAGGCATTCCATCTTAGGCCTCAAGGCTGGCAATTCATACACATTTTAATTCGTAATCGAGGATACATGTAGAATTGTAGATGTCTATGGGCAACAGCATTCACTTACCATCAGGTGGACTGTGTGCTCGTTTGTTAATAAATAACAAATGAATACAAGAGGTATAAAATAAGTTAAGAATTTTTCATATCACCAAAATTGATTCCACTCAGCACTAAGTTAAAAATTAAAACCAGACAAAAGTGTATGATAATGATTTTAAGTGCACCCAGCGGAGGCATAGAGGACCAATAAACAATAAAAATAAACATCCATTCTTTAATTTTAAGATTATCGAACGTCCACTGTTCAACATTTACAGGCATAGGATATAGATCTCCTCCAAAAATTGCCTCATAGGGGGATTTCTCCCCAAATTCTTCCAGTTTGTCCAATTTGAGAAAGAGAAAAAAAAATCACTTAAAATGAGTTTTCTCATTTTAAGTCAAATTCAATATTTTTTTAACAGACCTGGAGCCGGTTTTAATACTGGTAGCATGGCATCTTCTTTTTCTTCTCTTGTAATTCTCTTTGCTCGTTTAGCATCTGACTGTCCACTTGTAGATTCTTCACCTGCATCCTCTTCTTTTGTAGGAATTTCTTCAGAATCTTCTCCTCCCATAGAACCTTCAGTAGACTTTTTTCCTCTTGGTCTTTCTGCATCAGTCATAGAAAGCAGCTCTACTGAAGCTCTGATTAAACCACTTTCTGGTGAAAGCTTTGCAGCTAGTTCCGCTGGAATTGTATTAAAAGATCAGTTTAATAATTGGCTTAATATTTTTTTCTCTAAAATATATATTGGGTGCGTTTGGCAGAAAAAAGCGCTAGCAAGCGCTTGTAAGCAAAATGGCGATCGTAAGCGGTAGGCGCTGTCAAATCGTAAGTAGCTATTTTCCTCCAGGACACGATGTTAGTTTTAACCGGGGAACCTAACCTAATTTAAATATATGTTTGTAAAGTTTTCATATTAAAAACTTACCAATCATGAATTTTTAATAACATGTATATGTTTATTCACGTTATTATATTACTAAAAACTAATATTGCACAAAACAACTTAAAAACTCTACTTCAAAACAAACAAATTAAATAAGCAAAATGGCGGATAGTGTCAGCGCTACTGAAGTAGTATCGTGTCCTGGCCGAAAACTATTTCAGCGCTTATAAGCGCTTGCTAGCGCTTTTTTCTGCCAAACGCACCCATTATTATCATAAACTACATCTTGTCTAATATCTTTTGAATGCTAAACTGTTATTAGATTATTTTGTACTACAGATTATGAATATTTGCTGTAAAAAAATTGGATATTTTATTCTAATTTGCATAGAATTTAGAAAATAAGATTTGCAAGTAATAGAAGAAAACAATTATATATATACACAAATGTTAAACAAAGTTTGATACAACTATGTTAAATATTTTATGATCTTAAAGCAATAATATTTAATTTTTTTTAAATTATATTCTCAGAAGGGGATTTGTAAACAGTTCATTTACAAAAGCATATTACGTAAACCTATTTAGTAATCAGTTTGCAACATAATGCTTATTTAGGGGCAATATACAGATAAAGCAATTAAACAACATATTTATATATATATTATAGGATATACAGGTATATAATAAAGCACTAACATATATAATAGGGTACATATAAAATGGATACTATTATTTTACCTGTAATTTGAGAACACAAAAGCCTCCATTTCTGCCATATTTCATAAGGATATGGTGCAAGATGTCTGTCTAAATTAAGCAAGTTATCTTTGAGTCGCTGAATACTTTCTTCACTGATTTCTTCTTTGCTTATATCTTCTGATTTTTTATCCCACATCTTAACAATGAAGTCTTTTTTGTGGAAGTATTGCATGAATCCCGACCTACAAAGTTAAGTGTTTGATTTCAGTGTTTATAGTTATTTTTTAAGCTGTATAGTGGTGGTGCAAGAATATCCTTTTTACTCCATGTCGTTCTGTGAGGGTTGCAAGAGGCAACAAAGGGATAAAAGTGGGAGATGGGCAGCAGCTTCATGCTAATAACTAAAAAATAAAAAAAAACTGCTATAGTACCAATATATAAAGGAATCACAGCAGGACTGCAAAAAACTACCGGTATCAGCTTGCTTAGTACTTGTGGGTAAACTGTATGCTACAGGTGTTAATTGAAAGAGTTATGAAAGAAACTGATGGAAAAATTTGGGATGTGCAAGCGGGTTTTAGAAAGGGAATGGGGTGTACAGATCAAGTCTTTTCCATGCGCATGATTGCGGAGAAGTTTTTGGCCAAAAACCAGAAAGTTTTTTGTGCGTTCATGGACTTGGAAAAGGCTTATGACGGAGTGGACAGGAATGTGTTATGACAAACACTGAACTCATATGGGTTGAGCGCTGGTTTGATACAGGCATTAAGGTCTCTTTATAGGGACTCTAGTGCTTGTGTCAGGATCAATGGGGTCTACTCGGACTGGTTTGGCATCCAAAAAGGTGTCAGACAGGGCTGTGTGGCTTCCTCTTGGCTGTTCAACCTATTTATGGACCGGTGTTTGCAAACTTTGAAAGATGAAGAATGTGGGTTAAGAATGGGCGAGTTAACCGTCAAATGCCTTTTGTATGCCGATGATCAAGTCATACTTGCGTCATCGGCGGCAGAGTTGCAAATGATGGTTACATTAATGAACTGGGAATTAAAAGAAAGGGGAATGAAAGTGAACGCAAGCAAGACGAAAGTGATGGTTTTTGAAAGAGAAGAAAGCAAAACGGTATGTGAAATAAGAATAGAAGGAGAGTTGATTGAGCAAGTGGATGAGTTTTGTGTATTTGGGATGTGTATTTAGCAGGGATGGTACATATGATAGGGATATAGAACGACGAGTAAATGCAGGGAATAGAGTGAATGGGGCACTACACTCTATTATGAAGAACCAGAATTTGTCAAAACGGGCACGTATGGTAATTCATAATGCTGTGTTAGTCCCTACTTTAATGTATGGTAGTGAAAGCTGGGTGTGGCAGAAGAAGCACGAAAGTAGAATAAATGCTGTAGAAATGCGGTCTTTAAGGAATATGCTAGGGTGTAATCTGAATGACAGGGTGAGAAATTGCGTGATAAAAGATAAATGTGGTATGCAAGATGATGTTGTGACCAGGATTAAGAAAGGAATGCTTCGGTGGTTTGGTCACGTAGAAAGAATGAATGAGGAAAGAGTGACAAAGCAAATTTATATGGCAGATGTGAATGGCCGAGTCGGGAAGGGACGCCCTAGGAAAAAGTTTATCGACCAAATTGGCGATATTTTGAAAATGGGCCACGTTAGAAGTACCCTTAACCGACGAGCATGTATGCGTAGATATATGGATGTAAAGGAGGCGAAAGAGGTATGTCAGGATCGTGCCAAATGGAAGTCCGTAGTCTCTGCCTACCCCTTTGGGTGACAGGCGTGAGTGTTTATGTTATGTTAAAAAAAAACTGCTATTACCAACATAACTACCAAGCATGGCAACTCTACTAAATGTTAAGTATGTTCAGTAGTGGACTTTTAGAATAGACTGTAACAGTATGTGAATTGAAAGCAGAGTAAGAAATACTATTATTAGCGTAGACTGCCATCTGCTGCCATATTGATATCAAAAGGTATACCTGAAATGACACATTAAACAGATTCACTTCATTAAACTTCTATGATAAATATCTAATTGGAATTGTACAGACTGACCATAAACTTAACCAATATCACTTGCCAAACTTGAGGAAGAACTTATTTTGTGATTTAGTTGTATTATACATCTCAAACACAAAGCAGAGAGATTGGGCATTATTATCCACTTAAAAAGGTTATGCTAAACTCTTTTGTTAAATCATGTTTATTATTAGTCATTAATACAAGTAGATTTTTTAATGGACATAAGTAAGTATAAAGCAGCAATAGCTTATAGCAATAAACAATTGCTCTCTTCCTCTTTTACAAGATCTTACCTTTTAGTGTTATTTGCATAGTCAATGAAATAGTTGTTTAATAACTGAATAAAACTAAATTTACGGATTTTATCGCGTTTATTTCACTACTTTTACTTATTTTTAATTCCCGACGTTTTGGGTGCTTTACAGCAACCATGGTCACGGGGAGACTGAGATGTTTGACGTCCCAATGTCATAGTTAGTCCGGCTACCTTCAGCTTTTGAATATTAATTTTTGGTCCGATTTCGGAAATAGGACCAAAAATTAAAAAAATTAATATTCAAAAATTGAAGGTAGCCGGACTAACTATGACATTGGGACGTCAAACATCTCAGTCCCCCGCGGACCATGGTTGCTGTAAAGCACCCGAAACGTCGGGAATTAAAAATAAGTAAAAGAAGTGAAATAAACGCGATAAAATCTGTAAATTTAGTTTTATTCAATGTGTAGTGTTCGCATAAATTTAAGAAATCATTATGTTTAATAACTGGTTAATAATTATGATTTACAAGTTATACCAACATTTGGCACTCTGTCCTAGAGCCTTGTGGGATATTTGGTATGGTATCTGACAAAATCACTTGTTTTATTTCTAATGGTCACCCCAGAAAACAAGATTGAATATCTTGTTACCAGCAAAAAGGATATCCTGTTCTTGTTCCTTACTATTTAAAACATAGCAGCTTTGAATAATTAAGTAGGTAAATATTTACATAAAATCATACTTTATATAGAGAATACAGGTGTTCTGATCCACCTAATTATTTTGCAAATAAACTTTATTATTAATTATAATACAGTTTTGCAAAATAAGTAGTTATAATTTATAAAATGCGACCACCAGAGGGGCGTTGATAAGATGCTAGCCTACGGTGCTGTCGACATTTAGTACCTTAAATTTTCGTTCACGTACTTTTTCAATATTTATAAACCAGGCGCAAGTGAGGAAAACGTTAATTTTTATTAAGAGATTTATAAGAATACGTAATAATAACTCACCTGGGTGAGACGTCTCCAGTGCCTTTACTAACAGCAGAATAATGTATATAGTGTAACCCGGGTGGAATCATTTTTATTCCACGAAAATCTTCCTCAGTATTCCAACATTGCATGTCAATACCAAATTGCGTTTCTTCAGGTACACCCAGGAACACGAATGTTCCTCCTTCAACAAGAAGCTTCTTCGCAGTTTCTTGGTCCATATTGTTCTGACTTCTGTCCTAGTCAATAATTTGGGATAAAAATGCACCAAATCAATATGTTTACATCGCTGTATGTAGGTCAGGGCGGTGACAGTGACAGTGGGTGACAATAATGACATTTTGATTTTCCATAGTATTTTTTTATTAACTGGTTTTACGGCTCTGGGTTCTAGCCCTTCTGAGCATATCATTTCTTTCGGAATCCTCATTTTTATATTCTTTTTCTTCACAATATGCCGATGCGTCAAATTGCGAAGCCCTTGGGAGATTTTGACGACAACTCAACCCAGCGGACAGTTGATGATGACAGCTACTCAAGTTCATAAGGCGCCCAAGCGATCAAAACAACTTGAGGTTTATATCAACATAAAAGCACTCATTTTGTCATTTTCTTTAATAGTTCACATGCGCGGACACTTAATTAACAAAATCTCATCACTTTTACGAATCAAAATCCACTTCAAACCATTATTTAAGCGACAATCCGTCTACGGCCAAGTTCCCGCCAAAACTCCTTTATCAATAGTAATAAGCATGAAGGTTAGAACTTCCATGGTAATAAGATTATTGACACTAGTGTTGAACAATCTTATTATTATATTTACAATTAATATTCATTACACACATTATTAAAAAAAGGAACTATAATATAGAAAAACTAAAACTAAAAATTTAAATCTTATTGAAAAATATAACTTACGACATGTTAATAATAATATGATATTTAAGAGGAAAATATAATAATATACCTATTATAGTTACATCCTACTTCCGTTATGTATAAACTGCTTCTTAAGGAACGTCGTGTAAATCATTATTAGAAAAGAATAGATTAAGTAATTTTTAATCAATTTACATTACAAGATTGGATGTCGTTTTACGCTTTTACACTGATTCGGAAAAACCTCTGTACTCGGAAGAACAAACAAGAAACCTAGCGGAACTTTTTTTAAACATTACATTACATTATTACTTATTTATGTCATTATAAGTTGTACAATTAAATATGAAAACATTCAGAAACAGCATGGTAGCGATCACTTTATTTCCATAGATTATTATTAATCATATACTCTTTAGTAGTATATCAACGTTTATTAAAGATTTTTGTTTCATAAATTTTTAAATTTTTGGATAGGCCTGCATAATTTCTTTTTAAAGTTATTTATTAATTGTTGTTCTGAGTCTTGAATATTTTTGAGATCAACCTAGTGAATGATGCTACCAAATGCCTACGTTGATAGGTAATTACAAGCCAAAATTTTTGTTCTTTAATATGAAAACCAGAATTTTTTTACAACTCGTGAACCCCTGTTTTCTTGTCACGTCTACGTGAACCCCCGTGTGCTCTCCCATGGACCCTGGGGTCCACCTGTACCACTTTGGGAACCTATACCCTAGATGGAAATTTATCGGAGAGAAATAATTAATTTGAACCATCTTCAAGATATAAACATATATTGAAGATGGTTAAAATTAAGAGTAGGTACCCTAAACCGACGATTAGCGTCAATCACAAATCATGCTTTATAATAATTTGTTTAAAAATTCTTCATAATATGTTGATTGTTGAGCGTCACATTGCTAAATTTTTGAGAGATTTCGGCGAAATCTTGAGCCAGCAGATAGTCGATATATATCGAGGTTGATCAATAAGTTTTCGGAATAGGACACTTATCAATGAATTACAAAAATGCGTTCTATTTTTTTTTCAAATCTTAAATGTGTTAGTAGGCAAGGCCAGAAAAAACTGAATCCATTTTTTTTCAAATTTCACATTTGGCGGGAATTTGATCCGTATACAAAATGGAGAAACATGAACTTCGTGCGGTTATTAAGCATTTCTGCCTGAATTTTTGTTCTCTCAAAAGTGATTTTGAAGAACTGCACTTTACTTTGGCAGACAATGCTTTGTCTTATTCTACAGTGGCATACTATTCCGGTGAATTTAAACGCGGCAGAACCGCCGGCAATGACGACACTCGCTTCGGGTGGCCAACAACGGCCACCCCAAGAAAAAATTAAAAAATCGAAGAAATTGTTGATGTGGATCGACGTGTGACCATCAGTTATTTAGCTGTGAGATTCCCAAGGTTTCGTTTGGGACAATTCAGTTAATTTTAACTCACACCTTGTAATCCGAAAAGATGGCCGCGGTCTGTTTTCCACGAATGTTAACAGATGCCCAAAATAAAGAAAGAGTTGACATTTTCAAAGCTAAATTTCGCAATAATTGAAGAAGATACATATTATTTTTGCTCTCGTTTCGTAACCGTAGATGAAACGTTGTACCTAACTTTTTACCTGGAGACGAAAACCAAAACAAGGTGTGGAAAACACCGTGTTCGCCGCAGCCAAGAGATTCAATGTGTCTGTGTCCGCTGAAAAATTAATATCCTCTGCCTTCTAGGATGCGGAAGGAATAATAATGACACACTAATTGAGTAAAGGAGAACAATAAGCGGAAGGAAGGACAATAACAAGAGATTATTACGCATCATTAATAAAAAAAACTACGCGTGAACTAAAGAATAAACGTCGAGGAAAACTGCGTCCAGGAGTGCTTTTTCATCATGATAATGCCCCTGCCTAGCGATCTGATGTTGCAGGCGCATTCACCCGATCTGCTTGGTTTCAGTTGATGCAGCACCCACCATATTCTTCTTTGATCCAAGTGATTTTCACCTTTTTACTCACTTGAAAAAGCACTTGCGTACTACAAAATTCGACGGCGACGATGAGGTGCTGTGTGCTGTAGACATCTTTTTTGCAACCCAGGATCAAGCTTTTTTTTCAAAGGTAATTAACAAACTTGCAAAACGCTATTCAATTACGTTGAAAAATAAAAACAATTTATGAATAGGTACTTATCCTAGAGTTTCATTGCATTTCCAAAAACTTAACCTATGTTGAGGTTCACATCACCATCGGAGCACGAGTAATTATATAAATTAATAAGTAAGTACTATTTGGTTTGTGACTATTAAATTCTTTATATGCAATCGCATTGGCTATGGGATAATATATAGCTGAATCAATGATCGCTAAATGATTTTATTAGTATCTCTCAAATATCAGAGTAAAAACTTACATAATAAATAATAATATGCCTTTATTATACCTATGAAATAGCCGTTCTGCAGTACTGGCCGTTTCAATTCAAAATAATTTTTGTTTTGCTAAGGATTCTAGTTTAAAATTAATTTTATTTTATAAACATGGAAATCTTTAAAAAAAATTGATCATTTGTTTATTGATAAGTGTTATGTTTTCATCGCATTTGAATATTTTTGGAATATGAGTACCGTCGTGGCAGCAACGTGGCACGCAACATCAACGACGTTTACGGAGCAAATACAACAAACGAACGCACCACTTGTTATTGGCTTCTTCCGTGCTCGAAATTTTGCCCTGACAAATGAACCCCGTGGTCATCCGAAAACTTTAGGCAACAATGACGAATAAAATGCGATTGTGGAAGCTGATGATATTCGATCTACGGCTGAATTAGCAACGGCTTTCAACGTTAGCATCAAAACAATATTCGTCTATTGGCGTCACAATCAATTTACACGTTCGTCGCCTAGTTTAGGCATCAGTCTCTCACATTAATTTGTGCCTTTTTTGTCAAAATTCGATACTGTTAATTTAATGTGGAGAGAAAAATAAATTATTATTATTATTATTAAAATCGGCAAGGTAAAAAAGCTTAACAAATGGGTACCCCATAAACTCAATGAATGCCAGGGCGAAGTACGTGTCAAGACGTGCCTTGCAGTGCTCAACAGCCATACAAATGAAAGAATTTTGAACCGCATTGTTACCTGCAACCAAAAAATGGATTCTGTTTGACAATCGCAAGCGCTCACCTAGTTGGTTGGATCCTGGTTCAGCACCTAAAAAATGCCCTAAGCGAAAACTTACCCCTAGAAAAGTGATGGTCACTGTTTGGTGGTCTAGCGCCGGTGTGATTCATCATAGCCTATTATCAAACGGATTAAAATGTGCGTTTAACTAGGTGTTTTCTTCCTCGTACAATTTCTCTGTGGAATTGTTTACCATCGGCGATTTTTCCGGACCGATACAGCTTAGGGACATTCAAGAAAAGAGCTTACTCCATTCTAAAAGGCCGGCAATGTACCTGCAAATCCCTGGTGTTGCGGTTGTTCATGAGTAGTGGTAGTCACTTACCATCAGGTGAGCCTCATGCTTCCTCTTGTATAAAAAACATTGATGGAGATGTGTACTGTGAAGAACTGAGCTCAATGATGTAGAAACTCGCACGTCTCCAAACAACTTTGGTAAATCACTTGTCATACTGTACAACAAACGGCCTCCAAGTTACAAAAGCTGGGGTTGGAAGCTCTCCGTCATCTGCCATATTCACCAGACCTTGCGCCTACAGATTTCTACTTTTTCCAGAATTTCGGATAACCTTTTGGCGGATTTTTTAAAATATTTGTTGCCTCTCAATTCAGCTGATTTCTTCAAAAAGTGCATTAATAAACTGCCACTGCGTTGGCTAAGATGCATCGATTCGCATGGGCAATTAGTGGTTAATTTGATTAATAGAAATAAAGAATATAGAAAAAAGAAATTACATTAACTTATTTCATAAAAACGGCAATTCCACAGGTAATAACCTAACATTATGTATCCCCCAATGAACATGTCTTTATACGAGTAACGAAAATTTAGAAAACACGGAACATGTCTAATATCCAAATTAAAATCTAGTCTACAAGTAATTGTAAGAAACACAATACATGAAAATGTTACCGAGAATGTTCATTTACTTAGATCTTAGATTAATTAACACGAAACAAAATGTTCGAATGAAGATAATACTTAAATAGGTATCTAAATATATATAATGAGATATAGTAATCAAATCACCAAAAGGAATCAACATTTCTGGTGACAGAACTTTTGATTTTAAATACAATCTAATTTAATATAATATGTATTATGTGAGATAAATTGTGTTTTCACGCAATGGC